GAAAGGAAAAGGAAATAAATTTCTAAACTCTTTTTATTAAATTTTACTTGATTTTAACCTATTAAAAATGTTTGTTATATCCTGTGTGTTGCTGGTACTATATTATAATACAACGACTCGAATACACAAAAAAGAAAGCAAAAAAGAAGTGTTCTTTAAGCAAGATGATCCTTACCTTCATGTTGCTCTTCACCATTCTCATAGCTGCTGCTGCTGCATCTTCTTCATGTCCAATGGATCTCACCTATGTTCAAACCATTCCCTGGAACACTTCAATCTGCAAAGACCCTGTTAACAAAAATCTCTGTTGCAAAGCCCTTTCCAGCATCTTCGGCATAGGCCTTGCCGAACATCTCAAAGAAACATCCATGTTTTACCTTCCTGATGTAAACACTTCCTCCGCTTGCTTATCTGATTTCAAACACCACCTTGCAGCCATCTCAGTAAAACCAAACACAGTCTCTTTTTGCTTCCCTCACCCAACCCAGTTTGTCACTAACTCTTCGGCTTGTGCAGGGATTACAACTCTACAAGATTGGAACCAAAAGGTTACCATGGATAGCCCAGTGAAAACATCGTGCAAAGGGGACCTTAAAGACCAAACTCTCTGCAGTAATTGCACTCAAGTTGCTACAGAATTGGTTTCCAATCTGACACGTATTGACCCAAATGCTAATGACAAATGTTTTTACTACACAGTTTTATATGTTGCAGCTGTGGCTAATCCGTTTGGGACGACAGATCTAAGCACTACTGGATGAATACTTGGCCTGACACAACCATCTAATGCAGTAACAAGAGGGTCATCAAACAAAAGAAGAAAAACGATCAAGCTTGTTATTATGTTGTTGGGTGGTGTTGGTGTTGTGTTTGCTTTGGCTCTTGCTCTGATGGTCGTGTACAGGAAGTGGGATAAGAGAAGGAAGAAAAATGTTCATCGCAGGGAAGTTGAAAACGAGGTTAGTGCTGGTGTTTTGCCTCGTACAGGTGCTAAATGGTTTCACATATCAGAGCTGGAACGTGGCACGAGTAAATTTTCAGAGAGTAATGTGATTGGGAAAGGTGGTCATGGGGTTGTGTACAAAGGGACTCTTTCAGATGGAACTTTGCTTGCCGTTAAGGAAATTTTTGGTTTGGAAAGTAAAGGGGATGAAGAGTTCTGCTATGAAGTGGAGATCATAAGCAAAATAAAGCACAGGAATCTTCTTCCCCTTCGGGGATGTTGTGTTACAAGTGATAATTTGAAAGGTAAGAGGAGGTTTTTGATTTATGAGTTTATGCCTAATGGAAGCCTGAGTGATCATTTGTGTTCTTATGGTGGTAATAGGCTAACATGGCCACAAAGGAAGAACATAATCCTTGATGTGGCTAAGGGGATTGCTTATTTGCACTATGAAATCAAACCCCCAATTTATCATCGTGACATAAAAGCTACCAATATACTTTTGGATTCCAAAATGCATGCTAAATTGGCAGATTTTGGGTTGGCCAAGCAGGGTAATGATGGCAAATCTCATCTAACTACAGGGGTTGCCGGCACATATGGTTATGTAGCACCAGAATATGCACTGTATGGGCAACTAAGTGAGAAAAGTGATGTGTACAGTTTCGGTATAGTGATTCTAGAAATCATTAGTGAAAGAAAAGTGGTTGATACTTTGAATTCATCGACGGATTCAGTTACAGATTGGGTATGGGCACTTGCAGACTGGAAAGATGGAGGAAATTTTTGAGGAGTCAATAAGAGAAGGGTCAGTGAAAAGTATGGAAAGGTTTGTTTATGTTGGAATGCTATGTTCTCATTTGGTAGTGGCGTTTAGACCTACTATTGTTGAGGCCCTTAAGATGTTAGAAGGTGACATAGACATTCCTGAATTACCTGAGAGGCCAGTGCCACTTGGCCATGCGTCCTTTCAATCTTCTGTGTTGCATGGTTTGCAGAGAAGTGGTTGAAGATCAAAGCCACTTGTTTCATATTAATCAACCCTACTTTCTGGACGCAATGAACATTTTCTAGACCGTAGGACTTCCTCGTCTTAACCGTTCCATATCCCTGGAATTGGTTCCATATACCCTCCCCTCTTCTTTATTTTTAAACCCTCTTCCTCTTCTTTATCTTTAACTCCTTCCCCTCTTCTTTATCAGAGAGGGTGAAGAATGCTCTATATCTTGCAAATTTATTCTCACACTCACTCCCAAATCAGTGCATTTGAACATGAAAGAAACCCAAAATCGGTCGCTCCAAATCAGTGCATACACTACAATCCATTCACGCGAACACAACATAAAGGATATGTACGATGGACTTAAGAAAATATTATGAGAATCCATTAGTAATGTAGGAAAGTGCATTTTTTAAATGATGTTGAGTGTTTGATTATTTGAATGTTGAGTTAAGTAAAGAAATGGAAGGTCATAGCATTGAGTCGAGCATTTCTTATCGAAAGAGAAGTAAAAGAAGACAATGTCTACGTGTAAAAATTGTTGTTTGCATTTTACCCAGGAAGAACTATGGTATGATATTTAATTTTTGTGTTTAATTATTTAAATATTAAGGTTAAAAGTGACAATAATTAATACAGTCATCTATAATATGTGATTGTTGTTATTTTTTTATGAATGTGTCGATTATCACTTAAGATACTGTGATAATCGATTATCACTTAAGATAATCGATTATCTTAGTAAAAAATTTATAGAAGTATCACACATGAAAGGATAATCGATTATCATCCTAAATAATCGATTATTCTCGCAACCATACACAACATCGACGCGTAGATAATCGATTATAACTAATGATAATCGATTATTGCCAAAACGAAACACATCTCGTATGTGTTTTTTTGTTTACAATAATCACTTTAATGGTATGAGCAAATGAAAATGTTTCAGCTAATCTTGTGCAGGATGAAAATGATGCAATAACCTAGCTTAAAATATAGTTTTTGTTGTAAATCCTTTTTATTTTGAAAAATTCTAGTGTAAGTTAGTGTGTATATATAACTTTGTATATATTCAGTACATACTTTATAGATGATTGTGATATAATAGTTATATATGTTTGATGATTATTGTATTTATAATGTTTTGTTTAGTAATTTTATTTTACTAAATGGATACCACAATAATATTATTAATTAAAAATTAATATAATTAAAGTTTACTTTTTATTTTACAACTATTTGTTCCATTTTGTGGTGAATGAGATTTCAATTGAAACCAAATTCAAACTCAATTAAAAGTTAAAAATGTTTTCAAATGCATATTTCATCACTCTAGTGGCTAAATGAGTTTTAATTAAAGTAATATTCAATTCAAACTTAATTAAAAACTTTTTCTGATGTATTTTTCACCTTATTCAATTGAATAAGTTTTAATTAAAAATAAAATTATATATATATATATATATATATATATATATATATATATATAATATTATAACTTTTGTAAAAAATAAAATCTATTTGTTACAAAATTTACAATTTTATAAATGTTTCACCATCTTAATATCTTAATATGATCCCAATTTCATGTACTTACATTGTAAGAGATTAAATATATAACTCAACGTGAAAATAAAACAAAATATAGCTTTTAATAAAATATAGCTTTTGAACGAGTGAACTCCACTATGCGAGTGAGAAATAAAAGTGTGCACACTTTTACAAATTTGGACTTGCAATTTTGACAAAAATAATGACTTAAATAGTTACTGATTCATTCTCCATGGTAAGTTTGTGAATTTTGTATACGGGATTAAAATTCTATTTTTTTTCCTTCATACAGTTTATTAATATAAATGACATATCAATACAAAAATTTAATTTACATGTGTAACTTTTTTTAATATTAAACTTCTACGTTTGCTAAAAGTTCTTAATAAGGTTTTTTATTTGTGGTTTTCATAAAATTTATATTTTTGTTATCCTTATAGCTATTTTTTTAAGTAATAAGCTGAATGGCAAGAGACTATTTATTTCTGACCAAAAAATGATAAATAAATATATGATGCAAACAAAATGTTATTTCCAACGCTAGAGTTTCTCTCCACATTTCTTTTAGTCTTTTCTATTAAACGATGAAAAAAAAAAAGAAAAATTAACATGTATAGAAAATATTTCAAGATTTTTCATTTTAGTTGGATTTTATCGTTAAATAAAAAAATTATGCAAACTTTAATGAAAAGGAAGCGATGTTTACCTATCATTGATTAATTATTTTCAAACAAAATGATTTTAAAACAAATACATGTAAAAATTATAATATGAGTATTTATTTAAAATAACTGAATTAATTAGAAATATAAAACATCTACACTTACAAACTAAATTAATACTAAAAAAATTTGAAAAAGATAGCAATCATCATTTAAAAAAAAAATTGTCACAAATTGAAAAAGAATATCATTTACAAATATAAAAATCAAATAATTACGAATATTATAATATCTATACTTGTTAAATAGAAATTAAATAATTGAGATAATCACACATGTTTAAATATTTAAATTAATACAAAATATTAAAAACAGATTTAAAATAAAAGATATGAAGAAATTAAAGACCTTTACAAATGAATCAAAACATGTTCTTAAAAACAAAATTACTAATCAATTCTTACCGATTTCTTATTACAAATTAGAAAAGAGAATGAGACAGACAGAGAGGCTCATGATGCTGAGAAATTGGTTTCTAATTTACTTTTGGATGATTTGGTTACCTTGGTAAATTAATTCAAAAATAGGTTAATTCAGTAAATACAAATAAAAGAAACTGGATATTATGAAATAGAAAACCCGTAATTTGAAAACTTATGTATCTTGCACTCCGTTTTTTTTTTTTTCATTGGAAATTAGGAAGCAAGTTACAAGAGATGAACACAGTCAGGAATAAACAAGATCACATATAGATTTCAAATCAGCAAAATGTCACCTTTTTTTTTTTATAAATTGCTAATGAAATATCTAACAATGATGTAAAGAGAGAAATGCCAGTCAACTAGTAATTGGTCATGAATGGCTTGTAAACTTTAAGACCATCAAGAACTCCAGCAATGGAACCTACTGCACTTACCATTGCCAAGACGAAGCATGCAGCACTAAGCATCTCCAGGCATATCCATTTTGTGCTCCATTTTGGTATTTTAGTTTGAACTATATACATCTCCACTGGGAAATACACGGTGAGTGGCCAATATGCAATGGCACCGATAAGCCCCACAATGTCATTGAAGAATGGTAGCAACATTGCCATGACAGTGCAGCAGATCACAAAAATTGTCCTCCAAACCAATCTGAAAAGGTTGAGCTTGAAGGGTTTGCAACCAGGGATTGGTACTTCAAACTCCTTCCTTATAAAATCACTGTCTGGGAATTTTTGTGCTGCGACTTTTTCAATAAATTGGAACAGCGGTTGGCAGTCAACTTGGTATGCACCAACAAGGTGGACAACAATGGCAACATTGGCTATGTCGAGGAGCCAATACGGGTTATAGAAGCCAAAACCAGTTAGCAGGTTTCCAGGGCTTGAATCTCCAAAAGCTGCATAGCCAAAACCACCACATAGCAGATAGAAAATGCTTGTCACCAAGACACTCACTAAAGTAGCCTTCGACATTGTCTTTGACTCTTCAGGAGGTGATTTGATTGTGTCCTGTTTCATGACAACCCCTGTTTTAGTTTATACTTCAACTTATAATATTCACATTTAGAATCATA